TGGGGGAGGGCTGCTCTCCTCCTCACCTGCTGCAGGTCTGCAAAAGGGACCGGCTCGCTGGCCAGCACCTGGTGTGGTTGGTTGGTGAGGGAAGGCAGCAGCGGGAGCTTCTTCCAGTGCGTCAGGCTGTTGCTCAGCATGGCCAGGCGGGTGCTGGGGGTGAAAGAAGGCGAAGCGTTGTCACGAGTCCCAGCGGCTCAGCAGAGAAGCACCCAGCCCTCCCAAAACGCTCTGCAGACCCACCTGTACTGCCGGGCTCTGTCCATGTACTCGTGCTGCTCCATCCCCTGCGAATCCGCCGCCGACACGTCGATGATGTTGCTGCAGAGACACGAGGGCCGCGCTGCCTATGGGGGGACGTTTCTTCCCCCAACGATCAGCATGGGGAGCAGCACAGCCCCGGCCTGTGGCAACGTCTGACGCTACGCCGGGTGGCTGAGGATCACGGAGGCGTTTTCCAACCACGATTCTGTGTCAGACCTCGGCCTCGCGGGGTTGGAAAAGACCCCCAAAATCTCAGCTAGCCCAACTCACCCTCACTGAACCCTAAGGCCGCATCCCAGCAGCTCCTGAACGCCCCCCAAGGGATGGCGGCTCCGCGCTACAAAGAAACCCGGCCCCCATCACCTCCTCCAGCCCGGCCCCCATCACCTCCTCCAGCCCGGCCCCCATCATCTCCAGCCCAAAGGTGTTTCCTCGCATCCCCCCCCACTCATCCCTGACTTCCATCCTCCTTCCAGGAGACGCCCTGAGAGCAACTCAGCCCTCTTTCCAACAGCCCCGCTTCCATTCCCCCTGTCTGGTTTCCCCCACCCTTCCCTGCTCCCTTGTACATCCCAGCACCTCTCGCAGAGACCAGGCAGCTCGAGGGCTTACATGGCCGTCTTGGCGAGGATGGAGGACAGCATGGCCTGCTCGTCGGTGCGGGCTGAGGGCAGGCTGTGACAGCTCTGCTCCGCTCCATTCAGTGCCTTGTTGGGAGGGCTGGCCGCCGGCTCCAGCAGCCGCTTTGTCTCTTCTTCCTAAGAGAAACAGTGGGAGAATTGTGAGGAGGAGGACAGAAGGAACCGGCTCTGCTTCCCCGCTTCCTTCCCACCTCCCAGATCCCCCAGGAGGGGGGGCAGTAAACGCAGCAGCCCTCTGCCCACCCCTGCTTACCCTTACAGCCCCCGTGGGGACGTTCCTCGGGG